AGCTCAGTGAGATGAGATCTGGCACATCGCTGCTGGCCTGTCGGTTTCCACTTCCTGAATGCGATCACTTTCAACCAGTTGCTCAGATTGGTGAAGGAATCGACGCAGTTTACGTATATAGGAGGACTTAGTTGTAGCCAGTAGATATTGTTGTTAGGTTCCACTTTGATGTTGAAAGTTGTTGGTGATGTTATAAATATGTGGAAAGCAAGTGTTACAAAAGATTACAGTTTGGATATAAACCTCAGATATTCTGCTCTCGTGAAGTATTTTTCAAGTTCTATTTTACGAGTGTCTCACGAAGGACATACTTGCTAGCTCAGAGCTAGAACAACGATAATATAGTGGTATGCGAACATTGCTCTCCGTTGTAACCCGCTCTCTCGTATTCCAAAGAGATCGCGCTACCTATTACCAAAATAAGAAGGGGATTCTCCCAGTTTTCGTAAGGTATGCTGACTCCTTCAATTTGAATCATTCAATTTACCGTGATGGTCATTTAGCTGACCAGGAAAGTCCGCCAACTTACCATGGAACTTTGAATGGAGACCTGGGTAGATCGATAGAGTCTATAAGGTTATTTACAAATATAGATAGCAAAACTGCAACCTGCATTTCACAAGCAACTTATGAGCAGGTAAAGTTTGTAATGGTGCAGTAGGGTGGAGGCTTGGTGGTGAGCTGAAGCATAAGCGAGGAATCGCATACGTCGAATCGAGTCGTGGTGGTTCAGTGGTAAGGTTCGACGTTCGACGACTCGATTCGACGTATGCGATTCCTCGCTTATGCTTCACAGCTCACCACCAAGCCTCCACCCTACTGCACCATTACAAACTTTACCTGCTCATAAGTTGCTTGTGAAATGCAGGTTGCAGTTTTGCTATCTATATTTGTAAATAACCTTATAGACTCTATCGATCTACCCAGGTCTCCATTCAAAGTTCATGGTAAGTTGGCGGACATCCCTGGTGAGGATTTCATTGCAGGCGATTCTTTCTTCGGCATCCACATGCTCATTTGTGGATAGTGTTAGGCCTCCTGATATCGTCAATGGTTGGGCCATCATTGATTCCAGTGAGTGAGCATGTTTCCCGGGAACTCTTGTCGGAATGGGTATCACATTGTTGTTAAAAGATACTTTTTAGACATACTATTTCTTCACACTCAGTCCAGAAGAGTTCAGAAATTACCAGCTAGAGAGGAAAAATTTAGTTCACGATCGTGCGAAATACGGTAGGTCTGCTGTCACTGCGCTTATTGGCAGAACTGTGAAAAATTGTTGCAAGATTTACTGATC